CGTAATCCCTTTTATTTCAAACGGCAATATCGTCACCACGTTTGTTGTTCGCTCCAACATTTTTGGCTTTCTCAGCAGGCGAACCTATGTCATTAAGCGCCTTCTTGCGGCCCTTGTTACGCTTATCCTCCTGCGCTATAATGTTCTCGATGCGCATGTCATAGGGCAGCCATTTCCTCTGTTTGCGGGGAGCTTCTGCAGCAGTGGGCTGGGCTTTCGTGCCGGCCTTCTCCTCTGTTAGAGACTGTGGGCCATCGTGCTGGAGTGGCATAGGCATCTTTGCACGAAATTGGCCTATGACATTTCGCATGAATAACGCTATCGCATCCTGCTGTTCCTTGGCAGTGAGATTTCTGCGAGCTAAGCCGACGTAATTGCTCCTATAGCGGGCAGGAAGTTGCCCCTTGGAGGGCGCCATAGCTCAAGGAATAGGGAACGCCGCACATCTTGGAATTATGGCAATGCAGCATTTGTACAAGAGGATATTGAGCAATGAGCAGACGAAATTGCGAGTAGAAGAGCGGCAGGGACGAATTGTTCAAGGGAGACGCTGATTGGCTGTGGCTAGGGTTTCGACCATTCCAAGGGCACCCTGGGACCACGGCCAATTCTGTGCCTTGTTTCAACAGTCAGATGCGACGGCGCGTGGCCAGAAAACAGGCATCAACGGTCCACAATGCAATTTGGCGCATACACCTAGAATGAGTGGCCGAGGGCAGTGGCTCACTCATATTTGCGTGGTAGACGATGGGTGTAAGCTTGGCCGTCCACAAAATGGAAGACTCAGTAGGCCGCATGATAAGCCTCGCACGTCGTTGAAGCTGATTGGCTCGACAATTCCGATATTACAATGCTGTGTAACAAAGCATCTAGTTCTACGATGAAAAAAGCAAAACATTATGGTATAGTGCTCTCATAGAAACGAGGGGCTTGATAGGGAACAAATGAAGTGGGGCAAATCCCACTCAATGAAATGTGAGTCTTCTTGTTAAGCACCACACACTGCTGGCCCGCCAGATCTAGGTCGACCTCCCACGCTGTGGCGAGCGCAGCCGTGATTTCTTGTGTGAACTCTCAGATTCATATCGCCTTATCAGTAGACGCGATAAGCAGTGGTGACGTGGCTGCTTTCCGGGTTTTTTCCATGCCTTATCCACGCGGCAGGGGTTGGTTAGGCATCGGTTTAGATGCGGTGAAATCACTGATTGGGGATGTGTGGCTTCGTGGCGAAATAATAGACTGGCTGGGGATGTGCGTGGCATTCCAGGCATCATGCACTCTTACAGTATTTGAAACCAGCTACTAACACTTGCTTCCTATTTCCTTTGGCAGCAGGCTTCAGTTTGAGTATGGATATGACGCGCCTCCCTTTCTCTATGCAGGGATCTATTTCTACCACAACGTGTGCAAGGATCGGGATGCATGATCTCGAAACTTCTCATACGGGGAGAACACCCTTGTTTACGCATTTGTGCTGGTTCCTGTAAATCAACAGTGAGTCCTCTACCATCGCCCTTTGCTCTTGCGGCTTCTCTACAAGCTGCTCTCTACCACGTCAGCTAGCTTTGGATCTGTCTACACGTGCACACGCTTTATGTAATGGGGCCTGTTTGCTGGCAAGCAGCTCAGCTCACGCTGCCCGCTCTCCCTGCGCAGGCTCTGTGGCAGGGAAAGCGGGTTCTTACCTCCATTACCTCGCAAGTCAACGCCGGGGCCCCAAATAGTCCTGGCTTCAACAAATACCGTGTGGAGCTGGGCCGCGACACGATTGCTGCTTTGCTCCCCACCATGCGCAGGGCTCGCATCCCCACCAATCTCATCCTGGTTCGTGAACCGTAAGATTTGCGATACTCAATAGAGTCTCGTCATGTGTGTTTGTGATCTGCCGTCTTGTTCATGCGCTGAACACAACATGCCTCGCTAGACACCCATTCTCCCCCCTCAACCCCCTCCTCTTTCCCCCCAACCCCCTCCTCCAAGTTCCCCTCACCAACCCCCCCCTTCATGGCCTTTGGCCGCTCCCTTGTCGTCGTGCGACAGGCTCATACGGCTGTTGCCATCCCACCCCACGACCACATGGAGTTCAACTCGGGGGGGCAGTTTGTGAAGGCTGCGCCTGCACAGAAGTTGTTCTCCCATGTGTCCATCCATACGGGGGGTGTGAGGTGGTATGGGCGGTGCCTCATGCTGTTCCACTATGTGGAACTTGAGGGCGAGAAGCAGGAGTTCACCTTCATTCAGTACTTCACGGAGCACCGACAGAGCTGCTCGGTGACGGGTTGCCGACACTTCACGCCCTCCGTGAGTGTGGACTCCTACGCTCTTGTGGAGCTCGTCAGCATCCTCTCGCTGGCGCACATCGTGCCCAGCTTCACGCAGCCCAAGTCTTTGCTGCTGAATGAATTCATGTTCTGAGCTGTGTACCGCGGCATCTCCCCCACCCCCTGCCTAACTTTGATGACACATGCTCCGTCCGATGTTGCACGCTATTGTTAGCGACTGCCGTGTATTGTGTCTGCTTCTCCGCATGTTTCGCCTAGTCATGCCAATCTGGTCTGGATGCTTATGACCCGTGGTGCCCCTCTATTCTGAACATGTCGTGTGCCATCCCCTGAACCAGTTGTGCAACTGCTGGATGTTATTCTTACATTTGTATGTTCCGTAGGATGTTGTTGGAGTTCTTGACAATTGTTAAAGTTGATGGTATTTCACCTTTGAGAGCGCCTCAAGTTGTTTAGACAGATTTTTGGAATCATTGAATGCTGACACATTTCGGTTACATTCCAGAGTCCGAAAAGTGTTCTGGTGTTGCGCTCGTTTTCTCAACCCTTAGTTGCGTTTCGCGATTTCGTAAGGGGTGGCCACGCAAATTCGGACATTTCACGTATACAGGCGCAGTTCAGACATCTCGCAAAAACTGGCTTTTCATCTCGGAGACGGTCGAGGCGGAGGCGGGAGCGGGGATGCAGGAGTTGCGGAGGTGGGAGAGGTGGAGGCGGAAGCCCAGAGTAGAGCGAGGCAGATGCGGAAGAGGGGGAAGGGACAGGCAACGACGGGAAAGGGAAGAATGGAGCGGAGGAGGCGGAGGCAGGATAGGGGAGAAGGTAGTCACGTTGGCGGAAGATGTGGAGGCGGGAGAAGAGAGAAGAGAGAGGCGGAGGTGGCAATGGGGAGAGGAGAGGCGGCGGGCGAGGGTTGCATAGATGAGGTGGAGGTGGGAGAGGGGAGAACGAAAAGGCCGTCAACTTGGCAGGCGGAAGAATGATCGAGCAGGGGAGAGGGGATGGAAATGCGTGGGGAAGGGGATAGGAAATGGGACTGGAAAGGTCAAAGGAAGCAAAGAACAGTTCCTTCGCAGGGAGGGAATGGAGGCAGGGAGGTTTGAGGAAGAGGCAAGGCAGACAAAGAAGCCATGAAGGTTCAAAGAAGTTTCAGGGTCTCCTTTCGCCCAGCCCCCCCATCTCCCCACCCTTCTTGGTGCTCTATTGCACCCCTCATCTTCTTATCTTGTCTCCACTCATCCCTGTGCTACTGCTGTTCCTCCTCCCCTTGCTTCTGCTCTGTGCAACCCGATTCTTCCCTGGCTGCTGCGAACCTCCCTCCCCTGCCTCCTCTCTTCAAGGCAAGAGCACGAGTGCCTCCACCAGGGGACTGGAAAGTATCCCAGCTCGCGCAGGAAGGACAACTCACTCGGTCCTGTCTGTCGCTGATGGTGCTGCTCCTCCTTCTATTCGGCAGCAGGAGAGGAGAGGACAGACGGTAGCATGGAGAGGGTGCAGGGGTGAGAGAGGAGCGATGATGCGAGGGGGGGGAGGAGTGAGACGAGCAAGAGTGGATAGAGGGAGAGCCGTGCTGCTGAGACCTCCACCTGGGATAGGATGAGAACGACTGGGGCTGTTGTAAACAGTAACATGTATAGCCTAAACCCTGCTTCGTGGTCATGGTTCTAGTTGTAGAAGTGCATAATGCATTATGAAATGACAAACAATGGTTACATCCTGCTGCATTTATGTGTTGTATTTATGTGCCATATCCCCCAAACCTGCCACCTGATGCACATGCACTTCCAAAAGTTACACAACCACTGGTAGCCACAGCTAGGTTTGATGAGCCAACTTAGTGCAGGCATGACGACGTAGGTTTCTGAGCTGGAGCAGGCTTTATACCCAGCCATTCAACAAGCTTGAAGGCGAAAGTGCACACCGGGGGGGAAGGGGAGAAGGCAGGAAGGCAATGATCATGAGAGGGGAGAGAAGGAAGATGCCAATGTGAATAGCATGCTGAGCACAAACAAGTATAAGCCGTCACTCCCCACTGTTCTGCCCTCCACACTGTTCTGCCCTCCCCACTATTCTGCCCTTCCCACTGTTCTGCCCTCCCTTGTGTTCTGCCCTCCCCACCGCATTCCCTACCTTCCGCCCTCCCTACCTTCTGCCCTCCCTACCTTCCGCCCTCCCTACCTTCCGCCCTCCCTACCTTCCGCCTCCCCGCCTTCCGCCCTCCCTACCTTCCGCCCTCCCTATCTTCCGCCCTCCCTACCTTGTGCCCTCCCTACCTTCTGCCCTCCCTGCCTTCTGCCCTCCCTACCTTCCGCCCTCCCTGCCTTCCGCCCTCCCTCCCATCCGCCCTCCCTACCTTCTGCCCTCCCTACCTTCCGCCCTCCCTACCTTCCGCCCTCCCTACCTTCCGCCCACCCTATCTTCCGCCCTCCCTGCCTTCCGCATTCCCTACCTTCTGCCCTCCATCCCTCCCTGCTCTCATTCCGCTCCCCTTCCCTACCGCCCTTGCCTCATTCCCCCCCCTGCTTATGGCGCCTCCCTCCTTTCCGTACGCTCTCGCCTCTCCCCCTCCCTTCCCTAACGTCCTCACTCCCTCGCTGCTCACATGCCTCTTTCAATCCCGTGCTCTCATGCCTCTTCCCCCCCCCCCCTCTCCTTCCTCCCCCCCTCCCCTGCTCTCACTCCTCACTCTCAGCCGTTGCTCACACCCCTCTCTCCCTCCCCTGCCATCTCGCCTCTCTCCCTCCCTACTCTCCCTCCCCTCCCCCTCCGCAGCCAACACCTCGCTCTCTTCCCTGCTGCTTGGCCTCTCTTATTCCTTGCTCTTTTGCCTCACTCCCTCCCTGGTCTCTTGCCTCTCTTCTGACCTCCTCTATTGCCTCTCTTCCACCCTCCTGTCTTGCTTCTCTTCCGCCCCCCTCTCTCGCTGCTCTTCCTCCCCCCTCTCTCTCCCCTTTTCCCCCCCCCTCTCTCGTCTCTTCCTCCCCCCTATCTCTCCTCTCTTCCTCCCCCCTCTCTCTCCTCTCTTCCTCCCCCCTCCCTCCCCTCTCTTCCTCCCCCTCCCCCTCTCCTCTCTTCCTCCCCCCCCTCTCTCCTTTCCTCCCCCCCAGAGGCCTCTCTCGTTTCTCTTCCTCACTGCTTTCTCTCCTCCCTGCCCCACCCCTCTCTCTCGCCTCTCTTCCCCCCTGCTCTCTCGCCTCTCTTCCACCCTGCTTTCTCGCCTCTCTTCCTCCCTGATCTCTCGCCTCTCTTCCTCTCTGCTCTCTCGCCTCTCTTCGTCCCAAAAATCCGCCCCCCTCAACCTATGCATACGCATCGACGAATCGGAAAACCGCTATGCGTATACTTTGCCGCCAGCCGCATAGTGCAAACGTGTTCATCAGTGAACAATATACATAGTGCCCGGAGCCTAAGCGAATACGAAGCATATGCTAAGTGGCAGCATACTACCTTGCCTTTGTAAGTGCATACTACGCACTTCACATTCGCAAAACATAGGCAGCATACACTATGCATTTGCATGGTGCAGTTCCATTAAATCTTCATTGATGCTATGCAGATGCTATGCATATTCAGACCAAAAACGCAGGTGCGCGCTGTTCATCTCACAGGTTTGATGGTCAGGTTTAATAAACTCAATTCCAATATTATGCTTACAAATTCATTAGAAATCACAAGCATAGAAACTCTAGGTCAACAACATTGGTTAGCTAGTTACTGCAAGGCTTCTAATTTGCATTGCCAATGGTCTGTCGAGAAACCCACTTGCGAGAAGACATATCAGGTGCCTTTCCTGCAAATTCAAGGCAGACCACGAAACGTGATTAGCAGGAGAAGCGGCCGGTGGCGACGCCATGGAATTTCATCGTTGGTTCATCGTCCACAAATGGCTCACAAATTTTCGCATGATGCATTGATAGAGGAACCGGCATCCATGTAGTTGTGACAGGTCCATTCTGCCGACGGTTCACTATTGTCGACAGTACTGAATCACTTCCGACGCAACGAATCTGCAGCAAGCGCACAGGAAAAAAAAAATGAGGTTGTTAGTACGCTGATACTCTGCAGCTAATCCATGACGCTTTAAGCCCCTACAAACACGGCAACGACATGCACATCACACAGCACGGCACTCGATGAACTACAAGACGGATCTAGGAGGAGATGGGAAACCTGCATGAGGGACAGCTGGTTGTGACGAGATACTTCTGGTGGAAATGAAACTGGTCGAGGTAGAACTTCCCGTAGTTATCTTGCGTGGCTTGAGGATAAGGGTTTGTTCTGGTGGTTGGGGATTGGCATGAAGTTGGCTTGTCGCTATGCTATTGGTTGAAAGTTGTGTCCTCGTCAGAGAGTTTTGCGATGTAAAGTTGAGTCTGGTACACTGCTGAGTTTTCTGTATCTAAAACTCGCTGCTCGTACATCGCAAGAAAATTAGTTGTGGAAACCTTTTTGTTCGCGAAGGGCATTGGCGAAATGGCAAGAGTTCACGCATCGCAAATGTCGAAATGACCTGACATGTTTCGCCGTACCGCTACTATCTTTCTCGACCAATCACATGCGAGTCCAATTTGCCTGGTGTTCTACATTGTTATTGGTTGTGGCCAAAACTACTTCCTCATCTGATTCGCTCTCAATTTAGGCCAATCAAATCGCTCCACAAAATTTCAGCTGGGAAAAGCGTTTGGTATGGTGGCTGGGACGTGGCGAGCATGTTGCGGAAACCAACATGACTGTTCGGATCTGCCACGTACACACTAAGGTTCAGCTTCAGACCCTCACATGAACGGCTTTCATAGCCCCTCAGCACCATGCCTTTGTCCTACGCAAATAATCTTTTACTATGTCTTAGTCCCAAATTCACTCTCACTTCGTCCCAACCTCATCGACAGGGACTTAGTGACGACAACATGGCGGGGGTCCAACCCCGCCCGGTTTCACATTTTTGGGACGTTCATCCCTGCTCTCTGGCCTCTCTTCCTCCCTGCTCTCTGGCCTCTCTTCCTCCCTGCTCTCTCGCCTCTCTCCCTCACCCCTGTATCCACTACCTCCCTCCCAGCTGTCCTGCCTTACTCGCTCCACCCGTCGCGCCTCTCTCCCTCCCTGTCCCCATGCCTTTTGAAAGGCGCCGAACATTCCGCAAGCGCGAATCTTGCGGGAACCGGGAAGCGGGAGGGCAGCGGGAAGCACGGAAGGGCAGCACAGCAGACATGTGCGGAGCGAGCAGCTGCGGGAAGCAGCGTGAGACGGCGTTACCGAGGGAAGGTGGGCGATGCACGCTCGGCGGTTCGCGCGGGCTGCGCGAAGCGGGGAGCAGCGGGAAATGGGTCCTGCTTTAGCGTCACACAGTGGTGCCGCAGGGGGCGGAAAGCGGGTAGCGGGCAGCGGCAGGAAGCTTGGAGTAGCGGGCGCAGGAAGCGGATGTGACTCAGCAGCAAGAACTGCTCTACGAAAAATAGCCATCGGCTCACGACCGGCTGATTTCTCCCGGGAAAGAAAAAATCAGGAAGAGCGGGTCTAGCGCACTGATTTCCATCTGATGGTGCAGCAGGGTTCACGTCTGCCACCACTTCAGCTGCAGCTATACTGGCTTGCAATTCTTCCAGCAAGCTTTCTCTAACCTCAGAAATGATTTGGGCTCGGTAGGTTTGCACAACACCAGCCCAATCGTCAGAAGAAGGGGGCCCATTAGTCATCATGACGAGTTCTAAAAAAAAGAGGGTCGGAAATAGCTCTGATAACCAAATGAAACAGCCACTAGGCTGTTTGGAGTAGATAGTACAATTAGGAGGTATTCTTGGAAGAGTTGAAAGGTGAAAGTAACAAGGTAGTTTTACTAGAGATCATATGATGGCTTCCAATCAAGAAGCACACCACTATATACAAGGAAAATGATTGAGGCACCTCGAGAAGGTTGCCCAAGTCGCATCTCACTTTTGCTAAGCTAAAAACAGCAAAAGCATAGGTAGTGATTACATGCATACACACTTAGCCTTGCTGGAAGTCTAGAAAGTAGCATGCATAGCCTAGGAATCAACTATTGCAGCCTAGACGAGTCTTCCTTGTACTGCTGTTGCTGACGACATTCATAGAAATTATGAGATATAGCTGTGTTGGTAGAAACCATGGCTGTAGTTGCTTTCTGCTAGGTGCGCTGTCGATTATTCTGCTGCGCTGCTTGGCTGGCTTGCGTGCTCTCTGTAGTTGTTCCCAAGGTTGGAAACTCAGATTGACTGGTTGAACAATTCGAGGTTGGGTTCAACCTTCGAATTGCCCAAGGGTGTGTTCCGAGGTTGGGTTTCAACCTTGAAATCAAATTGAGTTCAGTTGGCAAAATCGGGAGTGACAATTTTGCCTCCGTCATGTTACACCGTGGTGAGGTCATTTCTCGTTATGGTTGATGGCAGAATTGTTTATTGAGGTGGAGATCAGTCCCCGCCTTCTAAATCTGCTGGCATTGAGTGGTTAGGTGGGCGTATAATCCCAAAATAGTTCCCATACCAAGTTGCTATAATATCCACATAGGATTTTCCTGGATTGTAAGTCGTTGAATAAGACAGCGAAAGTCTTTGTTGGTGACCTTACCACAAAGGTTGTAAAAAAGGTAAGATGATAACAGCGTGAGATACTGGTTTTATATTGTGATACAAGGAAGGTGAAGCGTCTATTCTAGTTATGCACTTGCAAGGGGTACATTGCATGTTTGGGGCTATTCTAAGACTCGATAACTGTACACGACTCGGGTAACTGTCCATGTTGTAAAACGAGTATAGTTAGGTTTCCATATAGTTGTGTTGATCCACCTGAATAGTCGACTCTTGGACTTCGGCTTGACTGTTGGGCCTCCTTGAGTCAGCGGTCAATGACCGCTGCCCATCAGTTCAGTTATCGCTTACTCAATATTGAGACTAGCGCACTCAATCATTCCGAACATAGCTTCTGAAATGCATATGATTCTGTTATTCCAACAAACTGAATTGTGCACTCCGTGGTACTGTACAATGCGGTGAATGTTGGAACCGGTTGTTCATCGAAAATGTGGCACACCCTAAAAGTGAACAAAGATGGATCCACAACCCTAAGACAATCTCGTCGACTTTTTTTTTTGTTCATAGCACCGTAATCTCCCGGTCTGATTACCCCAGATCCTCTCTAAAATTCATTAAGAATCATAAGGGTGGACATATTATGGGAAGGTAGTTGTCAAGACCCATAGACCTATTTTCTATTTAACGAGATTGGTTTCTGTATGTTCATTTTTGTAGTGGCCTATTAGGGAGGGGCGGCAGATTCTCATTCTCACCCTATCTAAGTCTCAACAATGCCACTAGTCAAAATTTTAGGGGCGACTGCATTGACCCTCCGTGCCAACATTGCGCAAAGGCATTCTGACTGTTTGGCGCGCACGATGCTTCCAAAACATGACACATTTTTAAAATGAAAACAAGTACAAGAACACTTTTGAGGTAACTTTGGGGTCCTCAAATGGTTTAACCCAAAGTGTGGGTCCTCACAATCCCTTAGCTATATTAAGATCCTTAGTGTGATTAGCAGCCCCATGGTGTACTTTTCAAAGGGGTGATCAGACCGCCAAATTACGGTAGCAATCCAGTTGTGTCTCCAATTTGTTCTTGAAGCATTATCTCACGTGTGTTGGAAATTGAGAGGTGCGTAAGACATGTCATGGAGTACATTTATACCTATCTATCATACTTGTTGGAAAACCAAAAACGTATTACTATATACCGATAAAATTTGAGATATCCTCCCAGGATTCCAAACCAACACAAGTCTGTTTGAACCTACTGCATATAAGATCGCCATTCCAGGGTGGGACACCACCCAAGTTGAGACACCTGAACGAAATTTGCATGAGATGGTGGGAAAACTCCGAACCACCCCACCATGAACACTGTGAGCTTTTGCGGCTTGCGACTGATGAGGCGACGTTGACCTGACAAGATTCGCAACAGGGCTCCCGCTCGAATAGTTGGCAATGGTGCGTAATTTCGCAACTTCTGCAACACTGGCGGGGAGGGAAATTTACCAGCGGTCAAACCTGCCCGTAACGTAGTGATGCTGTGCCGCACCGTCACCCAAACTGCCAAAATATTGGTGCTCAGAGGTAAAATGCATGCAGTAGCTACCAAGAAGCTCTCCGTGCAACACTCAAATCCTCGGACGTACGAGCAAGTACCAATGCGAGGGACACACATACAAAGGCTAGCACTTCAGCAGCAAGATAAACCGCTAGATCCAGCCACATCCTACACGATTATAAAAAATCAGGTACCACCTCCGTTAACCATACCTACGATAAAGATCCGGGAACGACAAGGCAGCGGTACCCGGGTTCCGCCCCTGTGCAAGGTGCCGACCCTCCTCTCGCAGTTGACGCCAACGGGAACTGGTATTTCAGCGCCCCTCATATGGGCATCCTCACCCTCATGGCGCATGAGCCATGCCAGGTGGATGGCCATACCGAAATGGCATCGACGCGCCACTAGAGCATCTCTAGTAGTCGCGGGTGTAGGATGCCATCGATATTGTGATGTTCTGGAGCCTGCCACCCTCTTGCAATGTTTTCGCATTCTTGTTGGTTCTCTATCATGTTGTGTTGAACCACTGCGCACCGACAATGGAGCATACCCGCCACAGCCAGCCACCATGACACCCTCCGAAAATGTGCCAGCACCCCTCGAAAAGGCCCATCCCACTCTCTACCAACATGCAGGATGCAGACTGCACATAGTTATAGGGCTGCTCCCACCCCCTCAGAAGATGCTTCTTGCTGGCATGGACCGGCACTAGGCAAAATGCCTTCACACAATATGCTGTGTCCCCGAGTAATTCATAAGGTTGTATCTCTCCTCTTTCCATGCGCTCATATAATGCACTTTTGCTGTATACCTTTGCGTTATGCGCTGACCCAAGCCATCCCATAACATAGTCCCAAATGCGGCAGTTTGCATCCACATTTAGCTGTAACTGTACCGATTACATCTGCTTGTGACAGTAATAATCTTGGCGATACTCGTCAATGCCGCGCACCTGCAGGTGTGTTCCATCTATCACACCAATGACGTTTGGCACGCCCCGCTTTTTGCATAACTCAGCTTCCATGTCGATCCTCTCTGGCCGCATTGGGAACCTAACCCATGTCGTTTTGTATATCCGTGGAGACTGCAGCAAGAAGACATCAACAATGCGATGGCACGCAATTCCAAAATAGATGCTGGGATTGAGAAAGGTCATTCCCGTTGCCATGTATTTTCTTGGGGCGAGTACGCATAACCACACTGGCACATTGTGCGAGACGATTATGCGTCAGAATGCATCCGACATTCCCTCCTTGATGTGCTCAAGGATGGTCCTGTTTGTGCGAGACAGCTCAATGAGACAAGCTTCCTCCATTTTTCTAGCCTCTCCATCCACTCGCAGACTGCTGCAGCTTGAGAGAGACAGTTCCGCTTTATTGCTTGAGCTCTAGCTTCTTGCCAAGCTTTGGCCGCATCCTGCTTGATTGCCTCGAGTGCATCTAGGGCAGCATGTGCAAGAATCGCGCCACTTTTGTTGTCATAACGGTTTCTAGGAACGCTGCTATTGCTGCTGTCGCTGTTTGGATGGTGTCTGCCATGGCTGCGGCTTCTGACGAGCTAGACGGTGAAAGTGTGAATGCGTCGGGGTATTTGTGTTTGGGGCTTGTATTTTGACTTCCAGGTTGGGTGTGGTGTGGTTTGCACTTTCTTTGACGGTGTGTTGAATAGACGTGTACGTGGGCATCCTTAGTGTAAGGAATTTTCCATTCCTAACTGAGCGGTACTGCTATTGCGTACGCTCGAACACACCCGAAGCCTTGGGACGGTTCCGGACCTTTCTGACGGAACCGCCTCGGCTTCTCTAGACCTTCTAGTTCGACCTTCGGGAGTTCTCCGGGCCTCGCTTCGTCACTTCGAGACCCTTCGATCTCCTTCCCACACCTTCACATCTCATGGTAAGACTAGCTCTGGTGTTCCTATATCTTGGCTTGCCATTCCTTGTATCGTCATTCAGTGATTCAACACTTCGTTATTCATTTCCGCACTACTATGCTTGTTCATTCATAACACTTGGTATCAGAGCCACTTTCCTCGCTCACCCGTTTTCGTGAGTTGATTTTATTTTTTTTTGGGGGGGGGGGGGGGGGGGGGGGGGGGGGGGGGGGGGGGAATAAGTCCCTCACGTATGCTGTAAAGCGGTTGCCCGCAAATTAGACTTATTGATTCGTCCAACTACGATAGCGTTTGCACTTACCTGAGTACAGGCACACTACGGATTTCCCCTTGCCCCGGCGGAGCATTCGCCAAATGGACCAAGCTCAGTTCGACAAGATTTGGGATCAGTTCAATGCCATGAACACATGCATGGCTACAGTGCTGGAGGACAACAAGCGAATTCATGCAAAAGTTGTTGAGTTACGCTAGGCGCGAGAGGACTCGCGCCAGAAAGCTGCCGCCCAAAAGGAGGTCGCCAGCACCGGACGTGTCGAAACCGTTTTGGACGAAATCGCACGTGACGTGTCTCAGGAGCGTAAGGACAATGAAGCCGCCACAGCAGCTGACGTGGCAGCACGAGCAGCAGCCAAAGCAGCAGCAGCAGCCGCCCGGTCAAAAGCAGCCGCTACTGTATCTGCACAGGCAGTCGTGCCGATAGTGACGACAGCGACAATCAAACCGACAATGCTGCCCCCGTTCAACCCCACAGATAAGAATACTACTGTTACGAGCTTGTTATTTTTGACAGAACTTTATTTTAATGCCGCTGGGATCACTGCTGACGATTTAAAAATTCGGCTGGCTGTATCATAACTGCGGGGACTTGTGCTAGATTGGTGGTGATATTCACTACAGGATGGGGAGATTTTGGCAGGCGACACACAGGGGTTTTTCAGAATCTTTGGGTTTGCTGCCCAAGGGTAAGCCGCGATTTTCTGATCGACCAAGATTTGTACGTGGAAGGCATGGGGTACAGCTCTGCGTGAACAATTCAAGCCAATATCTGCCTCGGACAGCGCACGCACGAAGCTGGACAACTGGCGCCAGTGGAGTTCTATCCAAGATTACACGTTGGTCTTCATGGCGTTATGCGATCAAATCACCGACATGCATGACTCCGAGAAGAAGGCTCGATTCATTTTGGGCCTGAAGCAGGACATTGAATGGGAGGTTTGCTTGCGACTTCCGGCAACATTTCACGAAGCAATCAAGATCGCAGACAATTTCGACACGCATTGAACGTATGCGAGAGCGGGTTCCCGGGAGGGAAATCGTTTTCGCGGCCAGGATCCGCGGCCCACGATTCACGGAGTGGCGAAGGAGCACATGGAAGATTTTTGTAAGGGACAATGTTTCAACAGCCACCAGCCGGGTCACCAATCTCACGATTGCCCACAAAAGAAGCAGATAAAGAAGAACGACGACAGTAGGTCGGGAAATGCCAAGCGTCAGTAGTGGTCGGGCCCCCTACTAACCCAGCCCTATCCCCCGAAAAACATCGTCCCCACTAGGTGGTAGTTCCGATACACGCTATCAACCGCTCCCGACTGAATAAGGGGGATGACCCAGTGGACCACCCTGTGCTGGCGGAAGGACGACTCAATGGAAGAAATTTAAAAAAAAATCATCGACGGAGGTGCGAGCCACATCTTGATAAATCGGGAGACAGCACGAAGACTACACATATCGTTGGAGCGGTGTCTGCCCGAAATAGACGCGAGATTGGTGGATGGCACCCCGCTGGCGATACACGACAAAGTACCCGTCACTCGTATGAAGTGTGGCAAAAAAATACCCACGTGGCCGAAACCAGAGACAACCTCAACACGAGTCAACAATGTGTGCCTCAATCGAGCGATCAAGGATGGAGCGGATTTATATGCCGTCCATCTAACCGAATCAATGGAGTAGAATAAGGCGAGCGACATCAACAAGCTCTGCACTTCAGTCCTAGATGACTTGGCAAAAATCATTAGGGAATATCCCGAGATTTTCTCGGACGACTTGCCAAGTGGACTGCCACTCGAACGACCCCAGGACCACAAAATCAAGCTGGAGCCCGGCGCGCAGCCTACTGTACGAACTCAATGGCGCCTGACTCAGCCCGAGCTACACGAATTACGAAATCAACTTGACTACAAGTTGACAAAAAGGTTTTTTTGGCCAAGCACGTCCCTGTTTGCAACACCAATCCTGTTCACCACAAAGAAGGACGACAGGCTTCGCATGTGTACGGACTATCGTGCCCTTAATCGGGTAACAATTAAATCGCGCTACCTAACCCCACGCACGGACGAGCTGATTGACAATCTTCGCGAAGCTCGCTACTTTTCAAAGATCGACCTTCGTGGCGGTTACCTTCAAATTTGGGTGTTCACTGACGACTGCCACAAGACCGCGTTTCGTACTCGCTACGAGAGTTTCCGAATGCACGGTGATGCTGTTTGGATGAACGAACGCCCCCTCGATATTCCAGCTCACCATGAAGGGGGTGTTCCGCGATCTACTCAACAAATGTGTGATAACTTGCTTGGATGGCATCCTGATCTACAGCAAGACCCGGGAGCAACATTTAAAGGATTTGGAAGCGGGTTTTCAGTGACTGCAGCAGAATCACCTCATCACCAAGGGCTCCAGGTGCGAGTTTTTTTAACAAAAACAGGAGTTCCTGGGGGCACGAAATCTTCACAGAGGGGATACAAATAGACCTAAAAAAATCTGGGTTATTCAGGAATGGAAACTGCCAACAAATCTGCAATTGCTAATCATTTCTGGGTTTTGTGAATTACCTGAGGCGGTTTATACCCAACATGGCGGGGTAAGCAGGACCTCTAACCGACCTATTATAGAAGGGGACTTCTTACGAGTGGGGGGAGAAGCAGCAAGCTGCATTCGAGGCATTGAAAACTCTTCTAATGTCGCCTCCCCGCACTTCGCATCGCTGACCCGGAACGGCCCTTCGAAGTCATCACCGACGCAAGTGACATCGCCAACGGAGCAGTGCTCATGCAAGATTTCGGGCAATGGTCTTCAACCAATCACGTACGAGTCTCGGAAAATGAAATCTGCTGAGGCACAACTACCCGGTACACGATAAGGAGATAATGGCGATTGTCCACGCGTTCAAAATCTGGAGGTGCTACCTGACTGGAGTAGACGTGACGGTACGAACTGACCATAAATCCCTACCAATACCTGAGTTCGCAGCCCGGAATCTCAACCCGCGGCAGATACGCTGACTGGACTATTGGAGTCCAACTTCACGTACAAAAAGGGCCACCAACAATATTGCTGACACCCTCTCCAGATCGTCTGCCCAACTTGCAGCAATACTAGTTGCCCAAAGCAACCCGCTACTGAGTGGACTATTTACCCACAGGCTATTGGACTGACCCCTTCGTCGTAAATGACAGCCATCTCCAAATCACTATACGAAAAGGCCGTCTATTACTTACGAAGCGGGATGGATCGTATTTGGGTTCCCAAGTTATCGTCTACTTCGCGAATTACTCATTCAAGAAGTCCATGATTCAAATTCGTCGGGACATTTCGGGGTTGATAAAACTCTGAAGGCGTTGCAGCGGTCTTATTTCTTGCCAGATATGGTGTCGGACGTGCAGCGTTACGTGGCCGCGTCTCCGATCTACCAGCAAATGAAATCATCACATCAGAGACCGACAGGACTGTTGCAGCCCCTCGAGCCACCTCAATGCCCATGGCAACACGTGACGATGATTTCGTCACAAATCTGCCTGCAGGATCTAGCGGAAACGACGTAGTATTGGTTGTCGTCGACCGATTCACGAAAATGGCGCATTTCGCACCATGTCGTACAACCATCACAGCCGAAGAAACCGCGCGACTGTTCATCTCGACCGTTGTGCGCCTACACGGATACCAGCAGCAATCATCAGCGATCGAGACCCGAAGTTCACGTCAAAATTTTGGCAGGACACGTGGGCTCGGTACGGCACGTGCCTGCAATTATCATCCGCTTATTATCCCCAAACGGGCAGTCAGACAGAGAGGACAAACCAAACGATGGAACAGCTAATTCGGACAAACTGCCTTGTCCGAAACAAATGGGAGGACGTGCTTCCCATGTTGGAATTCTCCTACAACAACGCGCCCTCAGCTACGACTAATCACTTCCCGTTTTACCTCAATTATGGGATGGACCCGACAGTACCTATCTCTACCAACGTTGAGAGTCAAGTACCACGCGGTTGCAGCAGTTCGTCGAAGAATTACAGACTATCCGAAACAAAGCTGTCGATTTTACTCGCAAGGCGAACGCTACTGCTCGACGGTATGCAGATCTACATCGACGGGATATTACAATGGCAGCAATGCAACTAGTCCTTTTGGTTGCCACTACCGACGAAATTACAACAACGTTTCTGTGGCCCATTCAAGATCATGAAGATGGTGACGCCGGTGACCCCCAGTTGCGCCTACCTGGCGATTGGCGTATTCACAACAAGTTCCACGTGAGCTTGTTGCGACCCTTCATACATGACACATCGGACATCGCTCGACAGCGATTGGTCCCGGATGTACAACCCACCAGTAGAGACGACCATCAGCCTTCGAATATTTTGATCCATAGGATTCGTATCGACGACCAAGGATGACACGTTGACTTTCTGATGCGATGGACCAATCGTACCAGTGAAGACGACACGTGGGTGCCCTCGGACCAGATACAGTCACTTCGATACTTGCAAATTATTTGGCCCGCAAGCACGTGGCTGATATAGATCACCTTCGCTAGGGGGGGGGGGGTGTAAGGAATTTTCCATTCCTTACCGAGCGGTACTGCTATCGCGTACGCTCGAACACACCCGAAGCCTCGGGACGGTTCCGGACCTTTCTGAAGAACGCCTCGGCTTCTCCAGACCTTCTAGTTCGACCTTCGGGAGTTCTCCGCGCCTCGCTTCGTTACTTCGAGACCCTTTGATCTCCTTCCCAAACCTTCACATCTCAT